CTTTGTGACAATTTTGATAAATTTTCATCTCTCCCTCTCATTTTGTGTCTATGTGTATGTCTATGTGCCCTTCGGGGGGTTGATGTTGTAGGTATTATATTGAGGGTGCAGTTTGCATATAGATGCATCCAAATGTGTAGAGGTAAGGTGCACCTTCAAACTTTATCTTGGTATATAATTTTGATGTAAAATGTTAGTAGGATTATCTCAAAATCTATTTTTATATCTAATTATAAAATTTTAAATTTTCAAAAATGGTTAAAATCAAGTAGATCTATAACCATATGAAAATCTTGAAAATGGACGGTGTAGATAATATGTTGTAAAATGCACTATTTATGAGACTTAAAATCTTTTTATTTTTCATAGTCATACATCTCGATGTCGAGATGATCAATCAGAGGGTTTTGAAACATTAAAACTACCTTTTCTGATGGATTTTTTAGGGGCATCCGTAGTTCTACATTATAAGGTAGGATCCTTATATAAACTTTTTCCTTATATTGAAGATCAAATCAAACGAACAATGAATGAATTTTTCATTTCTCGAGTTGAGAGACCTATAAGATTGGCACCCTGTCGGGCCTAACCATCTCTGATGCGTCTGAGTCTACTCGCCCAAAGCGGCAAACCTTGTAGTTAGCAAATAAAAAATTTGTAATAATATATTAAGTTTTAAGTAGAGAAATAGAAGAAGGAAAATTGCGTCATGCGGCCTGGACTGCATTTCTATAATATGCGGTCCAGAGGTATAGAGCATCCATCTTAAAGATGGATGCAAATAGGTGGTCCATCTAGAAACAAGTGTAACTAACGGTCCAAATGTTTTCTTAATATAATTATTATTTCTATTTTCAAATTATTATTTTTCATATTCACGATCTCTATAAAAAATTAGGATCAAAATATATTTAAAAGATATATTTATTGCCAAGCCCGCATTTCTACAATATGCAGGCTAGCAGCATACAAACTGTGCCCATAAAAGAATAGAAAAAAGGAGAAATATATAAAAAATGTTATATAAGGACAGCTTTAAAGACTGTGATGTGATAATGCACTTATCGGTTGATTTTTAGAACAAATTACCGATTAGTCTGATTAGTGCATTGGAAAAAAATTCTTACATACATGACCGTTGGAATAGGGCCAGATCGAGATCAGCCAATGACTTATCCCGAGTTAATCGACTGATTTTTTAAAAATCGACGGATCTTTTAAACACTGATTATGTGGGATTGAGAATGATATTGATAAGTTTCCTAAATGAAATAGATATCCAAAAAGATTAGGACTCTAGGATATATTTTTTGGTTCTTGAGATATATATAATATTTATATTAAGTTTCCCATTTGGTGTGGACTCCAAATCTTTTATTATATATATATATATATATATATATATATGATGAAATTGGTAGTGCATTCGTGTGCCCTATTTGGGTTACCATATGGGAAATGTGACTTCCTCTAAAGAGAGAGAGAGAAGCAGCGGCCTCCTATGCATAAGAGGCAAGTCTTTCCCTTGGAGAAAAGAGAGCTTCCTACGAAAAGAAACACCATGGATGTGCCTCATGTAGCTTAAGAGGCTGGTTTCTTGTAAAGAAGCGGTTCCTATAAAGATTTTGGATGGTTTCTCCTTTAGTGAGAGAAAATCTAAGGTGCTCTCAAGATTCTCCTCGTGGACAGTGGTTTTGCTGTGGAATTGAGAAGGTTTCTTCTAGGATAGTGGTTTAACTGTGGAATAGATATGAAAGGTCGATGATGGTGTCAATTGAGAGACTGGGTCTAAAAAGATTTACTCGACTGGGTTTTGTCAAGAGTTATAGAGGTACCTCTATGTTCCAAAATCTACAATGTAACTTTCATTGGTATAGTAGATTTCAGTTTGTCATGCCTATGGATGTAGCCCTCTTGGGGTGAACCACGTAAATCTTTGTGTTCTTGTGGCGTGTGTTTCATGCTTTATTTCTCGTATTATCGCCCATACTCTCTCCTATTTTGTTTCTAGTCGGGTAAGTACACAATTTGAGTGGGATCTAGCCTTTGGGATTCTTGTTTCCGCATTTAAGAGGATTCTTAAATCCTAACAAAGAACACACGATGGCACAAAATTACCATGATTATAGTCCACCTTTATCTCTCCCTCTCAATTAGAGGGATCTCTCTCCCTCTCAATTAGAGGGATCTCTCTCTCTATTAGAGAAAGATGTATTAAAATTGGTTGAAAATGAATAATTGCATGCAATAATCTTGCTTTTGGCACAAAATCACCATAATTACAGTCCACCTTTCTCTCTCCCTCTCAATTAGTGGGATCTTTCTCTCTCTATTAGAGAAAGATGCACTAAAACTGGTTGAAAATGAATAATTGTATGCAATAATCTTGTTATTGCATGCAAACATGACTTGATTTCTATGTGCAACTTAATATCCTTCGTCTTTATGTAAGGCTCTTTTTGTTTTTAGTTTGGAGGGATATGCCAAGAAAGAGCCATCTCCTAATTCGTAGGAAATACTATCGATAGTTTTTTACTATGAGCTTTATTGACGAATCATGTAAAACTTGAGTTATTTTCTTTTTTTAATTTTATTTTCTTTGTGCTTTTTTGAGTTTGTGATTAAATCTCTCAACTTTCACATGGCCAAAGATCTAATCAGGTTTCACACAAATTTTATTATAAGCAATATACCATACTATCTAGTCAGGTTTCACACAAATTTGTGACGTGACTCTAGGACTAAAGGTTAATTTTCATACTATCTGGGGGAAGGGTCACTTTGCTTAGGTCCTGCCTAGCGAATCTACCCGTGTACCAAATGTCCCTAATTCATATGTCAGCTTCGATTGCAAAGAGAATTGAGAAGAGGATGAGAGACTTCCTTTGGGGTTTAAGTGGGGAGAGTAGGAAGTTTCATTTATTAAGGTGGGATAGAGTTTGCACACCCAAGCGTGAAAGGGCATTCGGTATATGGAAAGTTATGAAGTTTAACCACGCACGGCTTTGTAAATGGTGGTGGCAGAGTTTACACTTGAAGAATCATCTATGATATCAAGTTTTACGGACAAAATATGGGACGAACAAACACACCTTGTGGATTGGGGGTGGTAGAGGGAAGGAGGTGTCTTATATGTGGCCGGCTATCTTCAATTGCAGGACCATAGTCTTGGGATACTTTAGATGGAATGTGGGGTGTGGCAATCATATTCTATTTTGGCATCATAAAAGGCTTGGGGAGTACCCAGTGAAGTTTATTTTTCCTGATCTCTTTAGGGTTGTCGCCTTTCCTTATCATAAAGTTAGTGATGTAGTTGAGAGAAGAGGTCAACAGTTCGTGTGGGAGACATACCCCTCTTGTATAGAAGGCTAAATAATATCATGTTGTCCCAATGGTACGCACTAATGGAACTCTTGGATAAAGTCTATATTTCTCAGGGGGCAGATGATATTATGGTTTGGGAAATTGAAAGGGATGGTATGTTTTCAATTAAATCATGCTATAACCTTCTCTTTCACAACCGTTGGAGATGGTCGTCCCTCAAAATTGTGCAAATTTGAAAGTGGCCAATACCACATAAAGTTCAAGTCTTCATTTGGCTAGCTACGCAAGATAAAATCTTAACAATTGACAATTTCCAAAAACAGGGGAAAATTCTTCCCAATATTTGTCTGCTCTGCAAATTGGATGGTGAGTAAGTTGACCATATTTTGATCCACTGCCCATTTATGGTGAAGATATGGCATTGGTTCATTGATGAAGCTGGTTGCTCTTTACCGCTACCCCAGAAAGTGATTGGGATTGCATCACAATTTAGTATTCCTTGTTTGCCTAAGGTTTGAAGCACGATTTGGAAGATTGCAAAAGGAATAACTCTCTGGGAAGTTTGGAGGGAGAGAAACAGAAGGACATTTGATGGTGTGGCGCTGCCTGTAGATAAAGTTATCTATCTTATTAAGCTATCTATCTGGTCTATCGGTAGATAAGGATGGGTGGGGCATAACTAAGGTTGATGTTTTGATAAATTTGACCAACCTTTTTTCTCTGGGTTTTAAACCCCATAGGCCTAAAAGTTTGTGGCATGCCCCGTCTATTGGTAGTTTTAAGTTAAACTTTGATGATAGTTCGATGGGGAATAGGGGGCCAGTAGGTATTTGGGGATGTTGTTAAAGATTGCTATGGAAATGTCTTGTTTACTTATGCTGACCCAATTGGTGTTGCTACGGCAAATTGTTTGGAGCTTACGGCGCTATTAAGGGGAATCGAAATTTTCATTAGGAAGAATTTAGGCTCAAACTGTCTAATAGAAGGGGATTCTCTTTCATTAGATGGTTTAAGAAGGAGCAGAGGGTACTGTGGGAATTGCAATCTTTATGGTTACAAACTTTGGATGCGGTGGCAAACTTATCAGTCTCTTTTTCCCATATTTACTGTGAAGCAAATGACATTGCTGATATTTTGGTTAAAAAGGGTGTTTCTCTTTCTTCCCTTGCTGTTTCTAACGATGTAATTTCCTTTTATGAATCTTGGTCAAAAAAAAAAAACAATATACCATACTTCAATGCACTATAGATTTCACATTTGATAGTTATAAGTGATTGTTTTTTGTATCAAAGACAACTAGTCAGATACTATAAAATTTATTCTATTTGTGAATATTGCATTTTGTAAACATAACCAATTTTTTTTTTTTTATGAAAAAGGAAGGGGATGGTATTTTATTAATAAGCAATGAGAAAACCAGCCCTTACCCATAAATAGCAGAGCCACCCAAAAGTTTCCTTTTCTACTCATGAGTGCAGGTAAGAGAAGCAGGTTTTCGTGAATAAATGGTCCATCCAAACTGGCACTAAAGGTTCTTCGTGATTCAAAAAATAGTGAAGGGCCACCTATGAAACAAAATGTATCTAGAGATGAGCATTTAAGGGTAAGCAAAGACAACATACACTGCTCATCAAGTATATAAATTAACATCAATACTTTGATTTTATTGTTCTTAGATAAGCATCATCGTTATCATCATCATCATCACCGTCAAAGCAGTTTCCCAATTAATTGAAGTGCTCTTTGATGAGCATGAGTGAGAAATTATGCAAGAGAAAAGTATGAAAGCAAGCATGAGCACCTAAGATGAATGCGAAGGGCATCCATAAACTGAGTTCTTCAATTGAGAGACAATGATTGCCGGTATATGTCATCCACTAGAAAAGAGTAGCCGAGTCGTCTGGCTCCACACACATGCCATCTGAGTTACTAGAACATTGATATGTGTGTCAGCTTCTGAGGTGGATAAGATTTTCAGAAATGCAAAACCCTACAATCCAGTTTTTAAATGATACATTCTATATATTTTAAATAGAGAACTGTTTCCAGTATTTTTGGCAAAAAATCAAGAAAAAAGGCTAAAGGGTGTCTAAATGTCTAAAATGTTAAACACAAGTATCATCTTTTTAGTGTGTGGACACATGCATCCATCTCACACTTGCATGTAACATGGTTTGAGAAGAGATGTCAAGGATTCAAGAGAACTTGAAAACCAGCCCTACTCATCCCAAGAGAGTGATGAAAAATGATTAAAGGAGGCATTTCAACTCATTAGTTTCAATTTAGCATTACCAAATCATTAACCTGGGTTAGTTTTGATTCAAGCAACTGGTATGGTTAAGAATTTGGAAATCAAGGTTAATTATGCAAAGGTAAATGGTGAGGTTTGCATGTATTTGCAACCTTAAACAGTCAAAATAAGGCGCACCTCCAAAGTTTATCATAAGACCTAATTTTGGTATCAAAAATTTTTAGGATGGCCTAAGAATCTGTTTTCAGCTCCAAAAATGGTTCAAATCAAGTAGATCTACAAACGTAGGAAAATCTTGAAAATGAACGCTCCAAATAATGTGTTACAAGATGTACTATTTTAAAGACTTGAAATCTTTTTTTTTCCATATCCATACATCTCGATTTCAAGATGATCAATCAGATGGGTTTTCAACACCAAAATAGCTTTTTTCAATGGATTTCTAAGGTGGACCTTAATTCTACAATTTAAGGTATCATCCTTATATACATTTTCCAATAGTAAATGATAAGGTCCAATCATTTTTCGCATTAATTACGTGGTTAATTGCAACAGAATGCAGTAATTGCACAAATGACAAGGTTCCAATGTGGGTCAATTATGTTAAAAAATGACCTAATAAAATGGCGACTTACCATCCACCAAATACCTAGGTTGGATAGCCCTGGGGCTATTTACAACTAGCTAATTCACAAGGAAAAAGTTTATTTAAGGATGCTAACTTATAATGTAGTGTAAATAGCTAATTCACAAGGAAAAAGTTTATTTAAGGATGCTAACTTTTAATGTAGAACTACGGATGCTCTTCAAAAATCCATTGGAAAAAGTAGTTTTAATGTTGAAAAATCCTTTGATTGATTATCTCGACATCGAGGTGTACGACTATAAAACTAATAGATTTTAAGTCTCAAAAATAGTACATTTTACAACATACGTCCATTTTCAAGATTTTATAATTCTACTTGATTTTAACCATTTTTTAAATTTAAAATTTTATAATTAGATATAAAAATAAATTTTGAGATAATCCTAAAAACATTTTAAAGCAAAATTATATATCATGATAAAATTTGAAGGTGCACCTTACCTCTACACCTACGGATGCATCCGTATGAAAACTGCACCCAATTCATAATTATTAGGCAATGTACTGGCAGTGCATCAAAATTGATGTCATCCATTCTCTATTAATCTCCAGTAGATAGAGATCACTATTTTTCAAGCTCTAAATCCTTATCCTCAAATCCCACACTTATAAATCAAGGCTTTTAGAAATGATAAAGATAACCCTTTCCTTCTTGTGAAATGTCAAATTTTCGAGAAAACTTGGTGCTTGAAAACATATTTTATTCTCTTGTATATATTGATGTGCTTGAAAACATATTTTATTATCTTGTATATATAGATATACGTGATTTAAAAAATGGATCAATGACATGGATTGGGCATCTCAAAAACCGATCCAGATTGCCGTTCTACTATGCATAGTGCAGAAAAAGTGAAGCACCAGAAAACAATCCGCATCAATGAATCGGCATTTTTACCGTAGCAAAATGTCTTTTTACTATAGAAAATCGTCGATTCTCTTCTAGACTTAAGCGATTTCCTATTTTTTGACAAAATCGGCCCAGGGGACTGATTCCTAGATTGGACTGGGCGATTCTCTGTCGACCCATCGTTTTCTAAAATACTGATTGATATTATAACAAATCATAATGCTCTAGCATCAAAAGAAACACCAAGACCAGGTATATAGAACATTTAAAGGTTTCTCTCATGCAATCAGATCCTAGATAATCAAAATCTCATTTTCAATATCAGAAAATGCATATTTGCACGTAACAATAAATGGTACTACTTCAAAACAATATTATTTGAACATGGAGAGCGTACTCCTGCAAGCTAACCACACATGAAATTGTAGGATCTACTTTAGAATAAACTTAATGAGTATTTCCAATAAAATAAAATTGGATTTGAGATCATGGACACTTAGATTTGACCAGCCAAAATTTTGGTCATTCTCTATTCAATCTTAGGAGTTTATTTTTTGTAGGCACATTATACAGCATATGATTTTATCTTTTCTTTTCCCTTTTTTCTTTTTTTTTTTTTTTTTTTTTTTTTTTTGGAGGTCGGTCCCTCAGTGTTGGAAGTTACATTCCAAAAGTTCGGGGTCCTAGAAATATGTGATATGAGGGGCATATAATATTATGGCTAGTATTTTTGTCATTTCTGTTCATTAATGCAAGGAATATACCACCTCAAAATTTGAACCAAGTCTCAGCCGAAGGTCTCACATGATCAAGAGGTCCCTCGTCTCTTGAGAAGCTCCAATATGTTAGAATTTAATAGTCTCTTTGACGTGGAAATAAGAATCTCAAAAAGTAGAATCCTACAAAAAAAAAATTTATTCAGCTACAAACAAAATAGGCGAGAATATGAACCATGATACGAGAAATAAAATATAAAACACACCACAAAAACACAGATTTATGTGGTTCACCCCAAAAGGGTTACATCCACGGGCATAGCAAATCGAAATCCACTTATTAATGAAAGTTACATCACTAATTTTGGGACAGATTTACCTCTTTAATTATCAACAAAACCCCATCGAGTAACCCTTTTAGACTCACTCTCCTGATCGGCGTCGCCCACCAATCTCATGTCTCTATTCCACAATCAAACCAATGTCTTGGAAAATACACATCTCTATTTCATAGCTAAAACCACCGTCGCTAAAACCACTATCGAGGAAGACGACTTTGAGAGCAACCGAGATTTTTTCTTAAAAAAACCACCCAAAACCTTCATGAGAACCATCTCTCTACGATAAACCAACATCTAAATCTACGTGAGTTACCATCGTAACATCTTATCTCCATAGACCTTGCCTCTTGTTTCCCATGCACTGGAGGCCCATACCTCTTTAGAGGAAGTCACATTTTCCATATGGGGACCTAAATAGGACACACATGTTTTTTCATCTATTATTTTATATGTATAAAATTAAGAATCCCCTCTAATAGGAAATTTTTTATAGATGTTGCATATATCTCAAAAACAAGATATATAACCAAAAATCCTAATATTTTTGAATTTCTATTTCCATTAGGAAACTTATCGATATCAATTTTGATATCAATCACAATCCCACATAATATGATACTACCTTACTTTTGGTGATTTGGCATATCACTATAGCCAACTATCTCTACCTTGGTAGTAAAATCATATGCTCACCATGCCAACATCCAATGGATAGCTTTATGAATTCTTTGTCATCATTCTTGTTGACAAGATTTTTCTTGCCATCATATTTTCCACCTCAAATAAAACACCTCACATACTTTGCCATGTACTTTTATTTTACAGAATGCACAAACATTAGCCTTGTACCGAATCATGCGCTCTGATACCACTTGTTAGAATTTAATAGCCATCTTAGATGCAGAAACAAGAATCTCAAAAAATTGAATACTACCAAGAACGTGCACTAATCAAGCTACAAACAAAATAGGCGAGAGTACAAATCATAATACAATAAATAAAGTATAAAACACAAAGAACACAAAGATTTAGATAACAACAAATACTTTCTCTCACTAAAAGAGAAACCACCCAAAATCTCCATGTGAATCACTTCTCAACAAAAAAACCAGCCTCTCAATTTACAAGAAAACCATTACAATATTTATCTCTATAAGACGCTCTTTTCTATCTAAAGGGAGGAACTGCCTCTCATGCATTGGAGGCCCCCCCTCTCTCTCTCGGAAGCGACATTTCCCATATGATTTCCCAAATAAGGCGTACATATTCTTTCCTCTTTTATATATATATATAAGATTATGAATCCCCACTAAATCGGAAACGTTTTTTTTTAGAAATGTTAACTTCCCACCAGATAAAAAATTTCCCGCAAATGTTTCATATATCTAAAAAACCATGAGATTTAACCAATGGTCTTAATTTTTTTGGATTTCTATTTTCTTTAAGAAACTAATCAATATCAATTTTAATATCAATCACAATCCTACTTAATATGAGATTTCCTTATTTTGAGTGATTTTGGATATCACCATATTCAACACAATATAAATCAAAATGGAACTCATAACAAATAAATATGAAACAGACTAAGCTCCCATTTCTCCACAGCTGCATGTAGCATCATCCATTTCGAACAAGAAGGAAAGATGAAAAACTCATCAGAAAAGAAGGAAAGATGAAAAACTCATCAGAAAAGGGTTGGTGAGCTCAGAGAGAGAGGATTCCAAGTAACCAAATCTGATGGTCAGTAGTGCTGCGAAGGGACTTGAACCGACCTACCACCTTTTCTAAGAGTCAGTTAATTTGGTCGATATGGTGATTAATGCGGTTGTCAAACATAACTGAAACCTGGAGCTGCTCATCATCTTCTAGCACATTAAGCTCCTACCCAAGAGAAAGCCATTAATGTTCCAACTGTTTTTTATTAGGGCCTTAAACTCCCGAATAAATGTGGTAGCTTATACTAGGTAAGCAACCAACGTAAAACTTTCCAAAATCTTTTACTGAAATATATGGCAAACTAGTATTCATGTACCCCACCCAATTAGTTGGAAACAAACTCGATGATGACGCGTATTTAACAGTTTTTAACTAGCAACAACAAAGAATAGACACAGCCTACATACAAACCAAATAGTCTTTATAAATTTTTGTTTGTACCAACTATATAGTCCAGGAGATAAACCACATGAGTTTTCAAGAGAGGAAATGAGGATGAGAAACACTAGTGTCGTCAGTGTTAACCCAACACTTTCATTTCATATACATGTCAATGCACAACACCAGTAAGAGGTTCAAACATGATGCAAACAAAGTCACTTAACATTGATACAGTTCCTATTTTGTCGTAGTTTTTTCATTCTTTTCTCCCACTTAAAAGATAAATAAGTAAATTTTTTCTTTCTATTTGGCCATAGTAATTTTTCTTTCTATTTGGCCACAGTACTTGCAATGCTAAGCGTGTGCCCTGATGTTGACAAACATCCTAGGCTTGATTCAAGAACGCATATTTTTGTTTTCTGACGGGTCTCCTAGAGTTGAGAGAGCAGGCGACATGACACCCCTCCCTTACTCTGTTGGATCACTAAAGCTCCTAGGAAGTATCTACCGTATAGCCGCCAAGGTTTCAAAAAACACTAGGCAGCCCGGCCAGCACCTAGGCGGATGCCATGTAGTAAAACAATTTTAAATACATACATATATGTGCTGTCCAAACACACATATATGCATATATTTGTGTCAATTTTGTTATTATGTAATATACTTTTTAATATACAAACATATGATATATCACATTGAGAATACTCTTGTTCAAAATTTCAAATTTCAAATCATACCAAATTTAAAAGTTTAATAGGCTATGTATTAGTAATAGTCTCCAACTTTCCATATTCCATAATAAAATAAAAGCTTAGGAAACATCTTCAAACTACAAAAACTACTTTTACTTCTCAAAAATAGGTAGAGCTTCAAAATTTCAAAATTCAAACCATACAAAATTTAAAAGTCTAATAGACCATGTATCAGTAATAGTCTCTGACTATCCATATTCCATAATAAAATAAAAGTTTAGGAAACATCTTCAAACCACAAAAACTACTTTTACTTCTAAAAAATAGGTAGAGCTTCAAAATTTCAAAATTCAAACCATACAAAATTTAAAAAGCACAGTTGGCATGCATGCGTAGGTGTGGAGGTAAGGTACACTTTCAAATTTTATCATGGTATATAATTTTGATTTAAAATGTTCTTAGGATTATCTCAAAATCTATTTTTATATCTAATTATAAAATTTTAAATTTAAACAATAGTTAAAATCAAGTAGATCTATAAACATATGAAAATCTTGAAAATGGACGGTGTAAATAATATGTTGTAAAATGCACTATATCTTATACTTAAAATCTTTTTATTTGTCATGGCCATACATCTCGATTTCAAGATGATCAATCAAAGAGTTTTTCAACATTAAAACTACATTTTCCGATGGATTTTTGAGGTGCATCTGTAGTTGTACATTATAAGGTTGCATCCTTATATAAACTTTTTCCAAATTTAAAAGTCTGATAGACTATGTATCAGTAATAGTCTCTAATAGTCTCTAACTATCCATACTCCATAATAAAAGAAAAGTTTAAGAAACTTCTTCAAACCACAAAAAAAATACTTCTAAATCTAGAGATTGAAGGTTTATGGAAGTATTTTTTTAACTTTGGGGTCGAAAAATAACCCTCACAACCTATTCAATCCTTTTTGGGATCAATATTAACACCTTTGTCCTTTTGGGCATCTTTAAAAAAAATAAAAAATAAAAAAAGGAGCCAACGTCCCAGGGCACCCACCTTGGCAGCCCATAAAGGGCACCCTGGTCTAGGCGTGCGGTCAGAGATGTCTTGGGCGCTGGGCGCCCGCCTCGACAGCCCATAATGGGCACCTAGTTTTAGGCGTGCAGTCAGAAATGTCTTGGGCACCCGACTCGGCCACACATAATAGGGCACCCAGGTCTAGGCATGCAGTCAGAGGTGTCTTGCGTGCCTAAACACCGGCGGACCATTTTTTGAAACCTTGATAGCCGCTGGTGTATGTTATCTTATACACCAATGGAACATTCACCACCCGATCTAATGCTGGACGACTGAGAACTGGAGATTAACCATAGTTGTAGAGGACCTAGATTCACCTATGCAAATTCCAGTGTACAGTCTATATTCCCTGAAGCCTATTTCCCTTCTAAAGATTTCAGGCAATGTCGCTCTGACACTTGCAGCCTATTTCCCTTAAAAATTTCAGGCAATGATGCTCGGACACTTACATGGCTCATGCTCAATCATATATCAAGTACGGCATTTACTCATGCATAAAAAATAAGTGTAATTCTATAAATCTTCATAAAGCATTTTCATAATTTTGAGCAAGTGAATACACACAACATACATAATATCTTCATTTTGACCATGGGGAGGGTGTTCTCTCAATGTAAAGGTACCAGAGCAGGTAAATTCAGAACAAAAGATAAATGGACAAAAAATATCTAATGTATCACCAGATTAGATGCAGAACTAGAACTTCAAAACTGTCAAACATTACCTTTAAAGGCCTTAATATGAAGGGGATTCAGATCCTTGTGCACAGTTCGAGTACTCCCATTGCCTATCTACGATGGTTTCTTCTCTCATACTAGAAACCATCAGTAGAGCCATGGGTAACAAAAAAGCAACAAAAGGAAGTTCCACGAGTAGTTAGCAAAAACGAGAACAAAGGAAGCTCGACATGTGGTAACAATAATTCCAATAAATCTAACTGTGACATCCTCACCGTTCAAGTGACAAAAACGAGTCAGAA